GCGAAAAACGAAGTTAATATATAACAAACCAATTTATTTAGGGTTTTGCATTTTAGATATTACAAAAACATTAATGTATGATTTTCATTATAACTATATGATTAAAAAGTTTAGTAAAATCAAATTATTGTATACAGATACGGATAGTTTAATATATCATATATTTACAAATGATTTTTACACTGATATAAAACCTGACCTTTCATCATACTTTGATACCTCAGATTATGATACAAATAATATTTTTGAATATCCAAAATTAAATAAAAAGAAATTAGGTTTTTTTAAAGATGAAAATAATGGTAAAATCATGAAAGAATTTGTGGGTTTACGATCCAAAATGTACGCTTTTAACTTAGAGAATAAGACTATAGCCAAGGCAAAAGGGGTAAATAAATGTATCACTAAAAAGATGACAATGAATAGTTATAAGTCTTCTCTATTTAATAAAAAAGTGCAATATTATAGTATGCTTAGATTTAAATCAATTAAACACACAATTTTCACACAAAAATTAAATAAGATAGGTTTATCATATAATGACACAAAGAGACATATTTTAGATAATAATATTGAAACATTAGCTTGGGGTCATTATAAACTGCGTTAAGTGTTGATAGTTTTTACTTTTATGTCTGCGTTTAAGAAAAATTTATATTGATTGTAAAATTATGATAATACTATAATATGACGTAGTTTATTACATATTTAATCATTGTTTTATTGTAAATAATTTAAGTTAATTGTTGTTTCTATTTATTTGAGGTTGAGTTAATTGTAAAATTATGATGTACTAATTGTGTTAGAAATAGTATACAGATAATTCTGTTTTATATAATTTTTGGAATATATATTAATTGTTTACACCAACACTTTCATTTTTTATTTCACCCCTTTGAACTTTAGACGTGTGTTATGTTTCACTTTATCCATCCGTTCACTGCTATTGTGGCAGGACCAAGTGGGTGTGGGAAGTCAAATTTTGTAACAAATTTCATAAAATCAGTTACAGAAATATGTAATTGTGATTTTAATCAGATCACATGGTGCTTTGATGAAATGCAACCATTATATAATTTACCAAATGTTAACTATCATCAAGGAATTCCAAATCTTAATATGTTTGATGGTGAAAACCCACATCTTGTTATTATTGATGATCTAATGAGAGAGTCCGATGGAAGAATTGTGGATATATTTACAAAAGGTAGTCATCACAGGAATCTTAGTGTATTTTATCTAACACAAAATTTATTTCATCAGGGTAAAGGACAAAGAGACATATCTTTAAACTCAAGTTATATAATATATTTTAAAAACCCTCGAGATAAAACTCAAATAAGATATTTAGCAAGACAAGTATCACCAGATAACCCAAAATTCATTGAAAATGCCTACAGGGATGCAACTCTAGAGGCGCATGGATAATTAATGGTAGATTTAAAACAGAATACCAATGATTTTTGTCGTATCAAGACAAATGTCTTTCCATTTAATGGTTTCTGTACAGTCTACGTCCCCACAAAAGAGTTTAAATACACCAAGAATCAAACAATTGAAATCATTGCTAAATGATGCATCGTCGACTCACAACGTATAAACATTTGCTAACCGCTTTGCATACGCTTAAACCAAAATATCAAAGAGCATTACTTAAAACGTGTGATGAAGAAGAAATTAACTGTATTTGTGAGTGTATTCATAACGTTTTACAAGGAAAAGTACCTCTTAAAGATCAGGATAAACAAAAATTGAATAAACATAAAAACATACTCCGTAAACTAGTACGTAAGTGTAAACATAAACTAAGAAAAAATATAATTATACAAAAAGGAGGGGCTTTCTTACCAACAATATTAGGTGCAATATTGAGTGGATTAGTGAGTGGACTAGCCAGTTAACATGGAAAATGCAAAGAAAATGATACTTATCGAACCTGGATTGATTGAAAAATTAAAACAAGAAAATAAGGTTAATAGTAATTTATCTCGATTAGATATTGAAATGCAAAATATTATGAATAGTAAGACGGAAGACCGAAAGAAATGGATATTATATTTACAAACACTGCAAAGATACCTTCATTTTACCGAAGAGGATCGTCAACCACTCAAATTACCAATTTATTCTGATACATCTAATGAAGATTCAAATGAGTCAAAAATTGGTTTTAAAAATAAAGATAGAGATCTAAAAACTTCAGTTGATATTGAATCTTTGCTGGAGGAGAATCGATCCATTAAAAGTAAAGAAAATGATGAAAATCCACTTTACACACCAGCTCAAATACTCAGTTTAATACCAAAAACTTATCATAAAAAAGGGCAGTTATTATTAAACTTAGTTGAAACAAGTAAAAGTAAAATACATTGGGATAATGAAGGTACAGTCATAATTGATAGTGAAAAAATTCCTGGAAGTAATATTGTTGATTTAATAAATGATTCACTAAGACCCCTAAAAAGAAGTGATCCGGTAGGGTGGGTTAGATTTGCTGAAGCATTAAAAGATATTAAAGTACCACTTACTTATATTGGAAATCCAAGGAGATGTGAGTTTATTAACCAACTTCAAGCAAAAGATCTGAACAAACCCTCTGAGATTGAAGTTCAAGAGTTTTCTACACCGGTCAGTAGAGATAAAAAGTCTACAACTAAAATACGTAAAGGACTTGAGTGGGAAAAATGGACCCCGTACTAGAAGAAATTAACAGGATTTATTATGATCCATCTAATCCCGCTGGTTTTGGTAGTATTGATAAATTATCAAAAGCCATGAAGGGTAAAATGAATAAAAAGCAAGTAAAGGAATGGTTAAAATCACAAGAAACATACACAGTACATAAACCCATTCGAAAAAAATTCCCGCGTAATAGGTACATTCTATCAAATATTAATGAACTGTGGCAAGCTGATTTAAGTGATATGCGAACTTATTCTCAATATAATGATGGTTTCAAGTATATACTTTGTATTATTGATGTATTTAGTAAATATGCTTTTGCAAGACCAATGAAAAAGAAAAACTCAGAAACAACTAAAGAATGTTTTGAAAGTATATTTACTGAAAGTAATTTAACACCTACTCACATACAATCCGATAAATGTACAGAATTTGTTTCAAAAGATGTACAAAAATACTTTAAATCCAAAAAGATTAATTACTATACCACTAACAATCCTGACATTAAGGCTAGTATTGTTGAACGATTTCAAAAAACACTAAAAATGAAAATGTGGCGTTATTTCACTCATAATAATACTTATAGATATATAGATGTTTTACAAGATTTAATATACTCTTATAATCACAGCTTTCACTCTAGTATTAAGATGTGCCCATGTGATGTAAATTCCAACAATATTATGACAGTTTGGACTAATCTTTATGATAGACGGTCAAAAAAACTTTCTTTAGAAAATCCTAAACCAAATTTCAATGTGGGTGATTATGTTCGAATAACTAAATATAAACATGTATTCCAAAAAGGATATGAATCAAATTGGAGTGATGAAATATTTATTATATCTTCAATAATTGATAGATCTCCATGGGTTGTTTATACAATAACAGATTTACAAAATGAACCAATAATTGGTACTTTTTATGAAAGAGAATTACAGAAAATCACTTACAACCCCACCTCACAACATAAAATAGATAAAATAATTGACACTCGTTATTCAGGTAACAGAAAAGAAGTATTAGTGAAGTGGAAAGGTTATCCAGATAAATTTAACAGTTGGATTTTAGCTTCTAGTTTAAAAGAAATATGAATAAAGAAAGTTTCTATTTAACTTTGCTCAGCAATAGTTCAATGGAATACTTTCCTGATAACAAGACCACAAATTTTTCAACGAAATTACCAAAAGCTATAAAATTAGAAGGTGAATGGTCGGTTGGAGTTGTCGAGTTTCAATATCCATGTACCATGTTTACTGTTCAAGACCATGAAAATGTTATATACATTACAAAATCTATGTTAATGCCTAATGAAGATAAACCATCCACAGTGTACTACAAAAAACATATTCCAGCTACCAACTATGATAACGTTGAGCATATTTTAAGAGTGTTAAATGGTATCGGAGAGAACTTGAAATTTCGCTATGATGAAATAACAAAATTTGTGTCTATTTCGGTATTGGATAAAAATATAACATCCGTAACATTATCACCCAAATTAAGTTTACAGCTAGGTTATGAACATAATAAAAATCTCCTAGAGAGAAATTTTGGAAAGTGTCCTGCTAATTTACACTTAGGGTTACCATCTCAACTATTTCTATATTGCGACATTATCGATCCTCAGATTGTGGGTGATGTTATGACTCCTTTATTAAGAGTCATTTCATTAGATCCTACAAAATACATTTATGGTGCAAATAAAATGCACGTTTTCTCTCAACCTCACTACTTACCTGTTATGCGAAGAGAGTTCGATACGTTGGAAATAGTTATAAGATCGAATACAGGACAAAAAATACCATTCCAGTTTGGAACCGTGTGTATTAAACTACATTTCCGAAAATTATAATAATGAATTCTCTTCGTGATCATCATAAATGTCCATATGAAAATTATTATACACATCAAGCTGGATCAGGAGTTGGAGTAATTTATAAGGGTTCACCATATCAACGCGGTCATGGTATTGGAAGCTTCTTAGGGGGGTTATTCAGATCAGTTTTACCTTTACTTTCAAGTGGTGCTCGAGTGATTGGTAAGGAGGCATTAAGCGCTGGAGTAGGACTTTTATCGGATATGGTTCAAGCCCGTCCTATGGAAGCCTCAATAAAAGATCGTCTAAAGCAAGTTAGTACGAATTTAAAACGAAAGGCTGATGAGAAAATTGATCAATTTAACATGACTGGATCTGGGTATAAAACTAAAAGAAAACGATTGACATCGTTCATTCCACCATTAACTGCTAAAGTGAAAGCTGCGAAAAAACTTTGTCTAAAACCAAAAAATATCAAAGATATATTTTCAAACTAAATATGTCTTTCCTTCATAATCATTCTTGTGAGTGCGTTAAGTCAGAATTGGATTTGTTTGCACTACCGTCTACACAAACTAGCATTGAAAATGGATTGTGGATTCATTATAAACCAATTTCATCTCTTGGTGATGATGGACCTATCGAGTTTCAAGTTCCTGGGACCGGCGATGACTACATAGATTTGTCTCATACATTACTCCACATAAAGGCAAAAGTATTAAATCAAGATTCAACTAACTTGGTATCTACTACAATAGTAGCACCTGTAAATAATTGGCTGCATTCACTTTTTAGTCAACTTGATGTTTATTTAAACCAAAAACTTGTATCACCACCTAATAATACCTATGCATATCGAGCATACATGGAAACCCTTTTAAACTATGCCCCTGCTGCTAAACAATCTCATCTTACTTGTAGTCTTTGGTATGAGGATACAGCAGGAAAAATGGATTCTACAGATGGTAAAAACATAGGATTTGTTAAAAGACAGGAATTGATTAGTGAAAGTAAGGAAATAGAAATGATTGGTCATCTTCACGGTGACATTTTTAACCAAGATAAATTTTTAATTAATGGTGTTGAAATGAGTGTTAAATTGGTTCGATCAAGAGAGAGTTTTAATTTAATTGTTGGGTCAAACGATGTAAAGTTTAAAGTTTGCATTACGGACGCAACTCTTATTGTTCGACGAGCACGAATTAATCCAAGTGTATTACTCGCACATCAAAAAGTTTTAGCTTCTACCACTGCTAAATATCCTATTACTCGAGCTGAAGTAAAAGTTTTAACAATTCCTTCGGGCGTTCAAGGAAAAACTCTTGATAATATATTTTTAGGACAGGTACCGAAAAGATGTATAATTGGATTTGTGAACAATTCTGCATTTAATGGTTCCCTTACTAAAAATCCATTTAACTTTGAAAACTATGGTATTAATTCTTTCAGCTTATATATTGATGGTCAACAAATACCTTCAAAAGCTTTGCAACCATCTTTTAATAATAGCATATTTACATCAGCATATCATACTCTATTCTCGGGAACTGGTATTCACTTTCTTAATGAAGGAAATGGAATCTCTTGTGAACAGTATGGCAAAGGTTACTGTCTATTAGCATTTGACTTAACTCCTGATTTATCAGCTAACTCATCAACTCATTGGAATCTCATAAAGCATGGTAGTGTAAGAATAGAAGTACGATTTGAATCCTCATTAATACAAACAATTAACTGTATAGTTTATGCTGAGTTTGATAATATTATTGAGATAGATAAAAACAGAAATGTTACTGTAGACTATAGTAGTTAAGGTTATAATATGTGTTGTGTGTTAGATTTTATGTGTTATGTGTAATGCATTTTGTGTGTATGTAACTATGTGAAACGTTATAAAATTAAATAAAACAAATTGTATGCAATATATTTTTTTTTATTTCTTTATAAATCTTCTATTTAATCTAATACAAAACACTGTTCGAGTTGAAATTTTACATAAGCACACTGACTAAACCACCGAACATGCTGCTGCCAAGGATCATCATCATCTTCCCAATCTTTTAAACCACCACCACAATGGAAACACTTGGTCCCGTCTGCATGGCCAGTATAAAAGAAACCAGCTTCTGCAAGATCTTCAGGTTTCTGTCGCATAACGAGAGGCCAGTTTTCGAAACTAAGCAAACGGCTAGATTTTGAACTGAAGAATGGATATTCAGCTCTTGAGTACTGCATACTCTTCTCGTTTTCTTCTCCACTCAGTGTTGTAGTTTTGTTATTCAATGATGTGTTTTGTACACGTATGCCACACTCATCTCTTCCTTCCGCTCTTGTCTTCCTGTAATTGAAGTAAACAGAATCACATTCACTAATGATCAGCTAATGACTGTCATTGTTAAAAAAGTATTTTTTAACTTTTTCACTTTCTGCTATTGTCTTTGTTATATTGTATACGAGGGCGTTTGTGTTGTCGTAGATGCTATCCTTATTAGTCTTTACGTAATATTTAATTCTCGTGGAAGCATGTTTCCAATGATCAGTAGTTGGAATCTTGGATAGCTTCTTCATATCGTACATTTCAATTTTGATGAGATGCGTCGCTTGGTCTCCGTCGTCAGAATTAGTAGAAATGTATGATACACCATCTCTAGCGGCTCGTGCTACGGTTGATGATAACAGCTTCCTCTTTTTTATTTTTGATTCAGCTTCAAAAAAATGATCAATCGATTGCGATTTTCTTTTTCCACCATCGCATGTGTTATTATTAATGACGAGGTTATCACTCTCTTCTTGAGGGGAGAGTGGCGAGTAGTAATACTGTTTATAGGTATCTTCATCGAAGCTCAATGATTTCTGCAACAACACAGTTATCATGGTAATATCAATTTGTTAACACTTAATCATAAAAGTTAAAAAGTTAAAGTTACAGCCTATTAAAGTCCACTGCTGAACATAGGCCTCCTCTCATTTCTGAGAGGGTTTTAGAGCAAGGAAATGTCTGCCGCGCTCCCTCAATGTGTGTTGGCGAACTTCACATGCCTTCGAAATTTTCTCAGACATGCAGGTTTCCTCACGATGTTTTCCTTCACCACCAAGCACGTGGTAATAAGCACTTAAAATTGCGATTAACAATTTAATTGGTGCTGGTGGGGATCGAACCCGGGTCGCGTACTGTGAAATTTACAGCTAGCGCTAACCATCTGAGTTACCACGGCTTAATCATATACATACACAATATTTAAATAAAATAATACACACACATGAAAATAACAGAAAAAAAGTAATTTAGTCAATAGAATAAACACTTACATCCATAGCCTTTGGTGTATTGAAGTAACACAAATGTACTATTGATAGATCCACTGTAGTCAAACGACCGTACACTAACTCGATGTCTGCGTCTGTTGGTCTTATATACCACCAGTACGTAAAAATTCTAATCTAAAGTATTTCCGTAATGAGTTGATAATTACTTTATGCGTCAACCAGTTTATCTCACATTTCCGTTGTCTATCTCAACATTTCTTCGTATTGTGTTTTGTTTGGTGATCAATGACTCAAGTACGATTTGTATAACACAAAAATGCAATTTAATATTTAGAAATCACTATAATTGACCATTCCTATGTTATTCATTGAGTAGATTGGTACTGTAATAATGTACTAATAGCAGTAATATCATGGATACACTAGATGTACAACAACATCTGAAAAAGATTCACCCCAGTCTAGAAAATAATGTTTATGCAGCTAATAGACTGCCTATGTATACCCACGTACCAACGTATATAATATGTAATTTGGATACAGATGATAAACCAGGGTCACATTGGGTAGCTTTATATATCGATACGAATGACGTCGGTCAATATTTTGATTCATATGGACGATCACCTGTACGATATCATCTAGAGTTTTTAAAAAGGAATTGTAAAAGATGGAACTGGAATGTTGATAGGATTCAGAATGAGTGGACTTCAGTTTGTGGCGAATATTGCTTAATGTATTTGCTATATAAGTTTCAAGGATGTTCAATACATAGTTTTACGAGTATATTTACAAGGAACACATTGTACAACTATATTTTAGTGGATGAGATGTTTCTCTCCTATTTTATAGATAATAAGTAATAAGATTTTGTATTTTATAAATAAAAATTGTAACAAAATTATGTAATGTGTATTATTGATGATTCAGATTAGCGTTGTATAATTAGGAACAAAGAAATATAATACAATAGCACTGATATAGTCGACGCACACGCTGCAATGAAGGTGATTAATGAACAATAGAACAATAGAAATAGGAACAATGGGACGTTAATGACGGTGGAGGCCCTTACCGGATATCAATTAGATATTAGCTAATTGATCTACACATCTCCGGAACCGTGCATTCTACACAAAAATGGACCGCGGATTCGTGATCAGAGCATTTTTTTTTTTTTAGGATCGGGTGTCGACGAACGTCGTTGAACCACGTCTGACTCAGGTGGTCTAGAAGTGGTACAACTACACTACTTCCATCCATTACCGCCTATAAAAGTCCAAAGGCAACCGCATTTTTAATATTGAGCCGTTATCAGGAAGATGCTACTGTCCATCTCCTGTTTTAGTTTCTCTCTATCGTCTCTTTCGAAACCCACAGGACGCTATGGGGTAGTGTACGTTCTTTCACCGCCATTAGTGAAGAAGACAAAGAATAATTATAGAACTACCACGGACATCACTAAAACCTATGCAACAAATCGAATCACCAATGTCACATTGTCTTTACATTTAAAGGGTAAATTACAGCAATTAACGAAATATGCTGATTGTATATTTAATGAGAAAATAAAATATTTTTACATGACTTCGTATTATTTATTACCCTGTAAATATACGCACTAGTGTCACAAGTTTACGTACCAAAGCATGCGATACGATTAGAATCGAGATCTGCACTAAACTTGACTGAAGAATTCTACCACAAAGAAACTTTCTAAACCATGTGGCTTAAAAGAAACAATCCTTTCTAACCCTTCTTATCCCCCTTCTAAGGATAGTGGTATAATAATTTGGACTTCATCATCAACATTATTATCATAACAGATTTTTACAGTTCTGAGCCATTTGCATCATCTGTTTTTTTTTATAGGATAAGGGGACAAACTAGCACACAGTCCACCTGATGGTAAGTAGTTTCTGTGGCCCAAAGGCATCTACCTCTATCCTCGACTATGAATCAAAATGCAGATGCATTGTCACCCGTGAGATGGAATGCCTCGTTTCCAATAAAAGGGGTCTCCAGTTCTCTACACTCACTATACGAAGCACAGCAACACTAAGCTGCTAATTTACGCTGGTATTCTGTGAGAGCGATGTCCTTCTTCGGTCAAGCTGACCCATTCGTGCTACAACTACTACTCCAACTATAACGTATAAATACTTATATAGATAGGCCGGTAACTGGTATTCAGAGACTGTTACATGCTTAAAACACAAGCATAGTACGTACGGCGGTCTTAGCACCTAGCACAATCACAACGAAACAAAAATTGACTTAACCCTACGTTTGCCCCGAAAAATATCCAACATGTAATGTTTTGAAACAAGTCGCATAAAATAAGTCACACAACATGTTTTGTTCATGGTCGCGTTCGCACTCAAGAAACTGTGTAAAATTTTCAACAGACGTTAAGATTTGTTGTTATCTATGTTCGCATCATTGTTTATCAATAGTTCTGTCAACGTTAGTCAGGTATTAGTGTTCTGTGACGTTAGTGTTCGCACTGTTGTTTGATATGTTTCACGATTTGTTTTAAAAGGTGTATTTTGTTATCCAATTTGGTTGCTAAACATCACAAAACATTATTACTCCTAGCGGAGAAGAACCACTAACTGATTTTTTTTTTTAGTTGGAATTTGGTTGGAATAGATTGCCTGAAATTTTTAGCTGGAATAGATTGCCATTTTTAATGATTGGGGCAACTTTCGATAATAATATTTCTAAATCTTCATATAAAATGTAGAGATTTTTTTGTAACCTTGCAATTTCGAATGAGCAACTTGCTCAGAAAAGCCGCGTATCCACCAAAAATGTTGACAACAGTTATGTTTCCAACTGTTTCCAACAAGCGTCTCCACCGAGGGAACAAATGTTGGCAACAAGCGTATTCTTTTGATGTTGCCGCCGAAAATGGAAACAAGTTTTGTTGGCAACTGTTGTGCTGGCAACAAAACTTTGGTGGAGGCGCGGCTTAACAAACTGGAGGTACCATGAATCTATCTATTTTTAACCAATAACGCAAAAATAGGGGTGTTATAAGTTTGACGGCTATATGTGTGTGTTTGTCTGTGGTACCGTAGATCTTAAACGGGTGAACCGCTTTGGGTGCGGTTTTTTTTGTTTGAAAGGTGACTTCACGCTAGCTATGATTCAAAAAATCTCTTCAGTTGTTTGAAGATCAACAGTTCTTTTGTATCGGGGGTTTTTGAAAGTTTCAATTTAATATATTGTTATTAAAAAATTCTGCGTCTTCGGTTTCTTCCTAACATTTTATTGTAAATATAAAGTACTGATAGTCAAAAAATAAAACTTCTTCAGCACTTGAATCTATTATTGTTGAAGTGCCTATAAATACAAAATTAACACCAAAATATATTTCAACATGACAATATTTCTACAAATTTGTTTTCAATCGTATGTTTCGCGTAAAGGCGGCTACTCACATGCCTGCCGCAGAGGCACGCGTTGTGAATGACGCCAGTTTTATCGAAATATCAATGAATCGGTATATATAGCCTTGATTCTTTTTATATAGAATGAAGG